GTGGATTACAAGCTGGTGCTGAGTGCGGGGAAAAGTGGCCCCTTGCCCACCTCATGGCCAGTGCCCTGCACTGCAGTCACCAGAAGTCCGCATGAGGCTGCCTGTGCCTGCTCCAGACAGCCCCACGTGGGCTGCGAGTGCCTGCAGTGTGGGGCACTGGCCATGGGGCAGGCGAGGGGCCACTTTTCCCCGTGCTCAGCACCAGCTTCTTTCCTGCTGGTGAGCAGGAGGTCAGGGCCCGCGCTGCTGGGGCCCAGAGCAGGGTGGCAGGAGTGCAGGGTCCCAGCTGGCAGGGGCTCTATGGAGCCAGGCCAGTTTCCCACTCCCTGCTGATGCAGCCCAACCCAGCTCCACAGACCCCTGCCAGCCTGTACCCCACTCCAGCCCCACTGGTGCTGGCCCTAGGACATTAGTCTCAAGACATTGGGACATTGGTCCCAAGATGGTGAGCAGGGGGCAGGGCACCTGTCAAGGGCCAGGGCTACCCATGCGGCCCTCTACAGCCTGCCAAAACTGGGTAAGTGGCCCTCCACCCAAAATAATTGCCTGCCCCTGGCTTAGGACCTAATTCATTGGACATGACTGTAAATTCAATGACCACCAAATATTTGTGAACTGGCAAATAAACCAACAGGTATCAGGGATACTGTATCATATAATGATTTCAGTTTATTTTGACAAAGGTGATTTTAGTGGAAGTTATCTGTGAAAATATTTCCTAATATACAAACAAGTCAAAGCTCAGAAATGAGAGCTCCTGCTAGCATACTCCAACTAAGTCTGCATGGACACCGAGTGAAAGAGCTGTGAGAATTACTGGTTGTGGGTTAGCAACACATTAGTGAGGTTCTACCACAAAAACCTAAGACAAAAGAAGTATTTTCCTCTACAGCAGCACTTTGGTTCCACTTATGCCCCATTTTAAACGCTTAAAATGGGGCATATAGGCATTGTACTGACCCCTGCCTATACGTGAGAACCACCACAGTGAAGAAGCCTGAAAGGCATGCATTAAATGGGAAAATCATTGCTTGTGTGTAGCTCTTTCCTTCCCCAGTAAATTTAATTTTTTAAAGGAAATGCATTTGTAATTGCAACTGAACTACAAAAGAATTCAAAGGAGAGCAAAAGGAACTTCATACCAAAATGTGGATAACTTGTTCTGGCTCTAGTCCCTCCACTGGAACACCGTTTACTTCCACCAACTTGTCCCCTGCATACAGCAACCCTAAAAAAAAAAAATACATCAGGCAATTCATTCAAA